CCCCCTCAGACACCTCAAGTAAGAGAAATGTTAGAGATTTCAATTCATTTTAAGCAGAAAAAAGATGGAATGGAAATCCTGTTGGAGAGAAAAACAGAACTTCAAGATGGGTATGCCTAGGCGAGATGAGGCAATGAGTTAAATACGAAACAAAAACTGAAAGAACGATGGATGCTGGAAATCAAAAACAGAATAGAATAGAAATAAAAACTCAGCAAGTCTGGCAACATCTGTGGAGAGAAATCAGAGTTAACGTTTTAGGACCAGTGACTCTTCCTTAGAACTGATGATAGCTAGGAAAAAGTTGATTTTATGTAGATGATAGGGTGGGGGGAGGGGCTAAGGAGTAAATTATAGGTGGAGATAGAGCCCAAGAGAAAGAAGAACAGTTGGACAGACAAAGGAATGGATAATGGTCAGCTTAGGACAATAAATAGCTACTAATGGGGACAATTAGTGGCTAACAATGGGCTGTGTGTAACAGCAGACATTGTGATAACAAGGCCTGCTGTGTGGAGGTTGGAATGAGGATATGGATAAAGGTGCCTCATGCCCTAAAATTGTTGAACTCAATATTGAGTCCAAAAGGCTATAGAGTTTCCAAGCTTAGAGATAAGCTCAGAGTTAGATTCTGTACGGTAATTGAGAAACAATTGATTGAATGGCAGAGCAAACTCGATGGACTGAATGGCCTTATTCTGTTCCTATGTCTTCTAGTCTAAGCTATGAGAAAGACATTTCTTGCTACAGTGCAGTGGTTCAAACTGGAACCTGTAAAACTGAGACTATTTGAGGTAGGAGTTAGTGTACTCAGGAGATCGAGAAGACAGATTGAAGTTGGGGGGAGGACTTGGTGAGCAAAGAATGCCCCTGGGAACTGGATATTGGAGGAGAATGAACCTCAGGAAATGTAGAAAAGGGTCAAAAATAGTGTTTGTGTGTCTCTGATCTGCAGAGGTCAGAGTGGGCATAGGGAATTCCTCCATAAAGTGCTACAAGTCTGAAGGGAATGGGTGATTTTGAAGTAGATTTTTGCCACATTATTTAAGAAAGCACAGTTTCTGTTTCAACTGCCATCAACTCTTACTGGAATTTTGGCTTGCAAATGTATTGCCTTCTCAGAGCAGGATAGCAGCTCGGTACCACAGAAGCAATACAATGGCCAAATACCCTCTATTTCCATACAACACAACTTTACCAGTGACAGGGGAGTCACTGAGCAGAGCATTCACCTACAAGCTAATTGTGTGGCATAAGTAGTCAACTAATGCCTAAGGGCATTCTACACTGGCAGTTACATTTAACCAGAGATCAGGCAGGCATTCAGCTGCAACATTAGATGTGATAAAGTTTTGGCTGGGGCAAGTGTCTGCCTCACTTACAACCTTATGTGTCTGTCAGAGACCTTCTGCCATCCTATCTCAAGGTGTAAACCCCTCCCCTTGAACTCCCCATCCCAGAGGGCCTGTCAAACTCTGCCCCACCCCTTTACATCCCATGCCTTTATGTACCACCCTGATCCAGAGGCAAAAGCCCTGTTGCCTGTCTCTGAGAGACAACAGTATATACATAGACAAAGATACAGCAGAGACACTTACAGCTCTATAAAACTCAACTAGTTTATTAAGTACTTAAACAAATAACACACACTTTTAATTTCAAATATTATCTTTCACTACCCTGGGTTCTATAATTAACACAAACATTTCTGTAATCTTAGCTCTTAGCAGACCTGAATGATTCAGTGTAATTCCACACACATAAAAGCCATTATAAAGCCTCTTATCAGTTCCGGTTATCTTCAGCCTTATTCAACACATATTTTCATCTCACAGTCTGGATTCCACTGTTGAACAGTCCACTTCCAAAGGACTGCCAGCACAAGAGACCTACGGTCATTTAGAATCATAGAATCCCTACAATGTGGAAAGAGACCATTTGGCCTATTGAGTCTGCACTGATCCTCCAAACAACATCCCATCCATACCCATCCCCCCATCATATCCCCATAACTTCATATTTACCATGGCTAATACGTATTTACCTGCACATTCCTAAACACTGCAGGGCAATTTAAAATGGTCAATCCACCTAATCTGCACATCTTTGGACTGTAGGAGGTAACCAGATCACCTGGAGGAAACCCATGCAAACAAGGGAAGAATGTGCAAAAAGTCACCTAAGGCTGGAATTGAACCTAGGTCCCTGTCACCGTGAGGCAGCAGTGCTAACTACTGAGCCAATATATTGTCCCCTTTGATTCATCAGATTTTCTCAGTGACAGAGGATGCTCTTTGATGGCATACCAATGGCCTCAGAACTAGTAGAAAGCTGTGGTGTGAACCACTGAGTGGAGGCATGATCGAGACTGACTTTTATACTGGAAGAGCATTTATTCCAGGCTCAGCAGAAAATTCAGCCCATGAGCATAATTTCACACCAAAATTTACTTTGCAGTTGCATTCAAGTTTATGGATAGATTTCAGCTTGGCTTCAGGGTTAATTTTAGGTTTGGCTTTATTTGACTTTGTTTGCAGCAGAAACCTAATTGCAGCATTTTATGGATAGAACTTACATACAAAAGTGAAATTGAAAGATGGCATGTTAACTACATGGTCTCACTGAATGCCCATTTTTGTCAATTCATAGAGCCAGCGTGATCCAGTTGTGATTATAGGGCTTATCACTTTTAGCACTATCACATGTGAAGAAAACTGCATTGTAAGGTTATTTTCATAGAGCAGGAACTGAATGGAAGGAAAGCGTGCAACTATGAACTGAGCCGTGTGCATAACTAAGGAAATGTGAATTACAACTTTATCAGGGTTGAAGAATGAAAATTATAAATACTCCAGTCAATTAAAACAGTCAGGAGTCATAAAGAAACATATAAGATATGAGCAGGAGTAGGCCATTCAACCCATCAAGACTGCTATACCATTTAATATGACCATGGCTGATTGCCTATTTCAATGCCAGACTTTCACTCTATCACCATCCTCTTGACAAATTTAATGTCTATAAATATATTTTTTTCTTAAATATATTCAGAGACTTTATATGTTTTGATGAAATCCATTATTTTAATTTTCTCAATTTTATGTGTAGTCCTACATAATCGTAAAGGGGCTTGTTAATCCTTTAAAATATGCCAATGTTGTCAAACTACCTAAGTTTCATATCAGTTAATTCATTGTGACCTTGGGTCAAATCAAGCTGCTAAACTCTTTATTCAGATAATCTGTATGAGAGTTGGTACAGGAGTGGAGGTGGCCATTCTGACTGGGTGTGCTGGCTTTCTAGATTGAGTAATTCACTTAATGGCACTTGCCCCACCTTCTCCCCATCACCTTCCATGGCCTAACTACTCACTCTCTGAAACGTTTTTTTTCTTCCTGATCAGATAATGATCCAAACTACCTAGAATGCCTTGATTGACAAGACATAATATAACGGTGTGCGAAAATTTCTCTCAATGTCTCCATTGCTTCTTTCGTCAGTTGTGTGAAATCTGTGCCTTCATTCTTAATATTCCTACCAGTAGGAACTAAAACTCCCTATCCATTCAGACCCCTTAAAATTTGCAATCCCTACCAAGTTTGCTCTCAACCTTTTCTTCACTCCGAATGCACACACACAATTGAAGTTGCTCATCCCTGAACTGCTTCTACTGTTAATCCCTGTTAATAAAGTATAGGAATATGCTTTATTAAACACTCTCTCAGTCTACAGTGCCACCGTCAAAGATGTTTGCATGTTTACACCCAGGTCTCTTAGCTCCTGCACTCTACTTAGAGTTAAATCCTTCATTTCACATTGTCTCACCATTTTCTACCTACAAAATGAAGCATTTCAAGCATCTGTTCATTGAATTTCATCCGATAAATTAGCATAATTTCAGGAACGAGGATTTAACACCGATATTTGTCAGTGAGCCACAGAAATGCTGGCATTCTTTTTGTACATTGTCACAATGACTAACGCTCCAAATTACTTATGTATCTGAAAAGTGATCTGAGAAGACCTGAGGCTAAGAAAGTAGTTGTGTGCATACAACTTCTCTCTTTAATTGTTTTAAATTAATGAAAATTGTAATAATATAAAAAAGCAAAGAGAGAGACTGAAGTAATAGAGGTCAAAGTTTTAAATTCGGCTCAACTTCTTCTGAAGCACAGTCAGAATTTTTGTTTTGCTGATTTTACACTAATATTACTTGATAAATCTTCTAATACAACATGGATCACAGAATTGCTTTGCCACAGAAGGGCTATATTTGGCTCAATGTGCCTGCATGAGTTCTATTACCTAGTGCCAATCTCCTGCAATTTCCTCATCCCCGCACACCATTCCTATCCAAGTAACTATCCCACACCTCTTTAATGACTCAGTTGAACCTGCCTTCACTACATTTCAACGGAGTGCCTTCCATGGCCTAACTACTCACTCTCTGAAACGTTTTTTTTCTCACATCACTCTTGAACTTAATCTTTAAAAGCTGTGGGTATAAAACTCTTTGGATCTGTTGCCAATTATTTGGTTACTTCAAGTTGATACGAGTCCAATTGTACAAGGTGTGTTTGAAAGAACAAGTTTAGTACATGTTTATTTTTTATTGAATACTTTAGTCCATATTTTCAAAGTATTGGCTGGTAACTGGGAAGGTTTGTAAGTGCATTGATGGTAACGTGAGATTGCATATTTTCATAGCAGACCTGTAGCGCAGTATAAAACATTTAACCTTTATACCTTACTAAACAGATGTGGAAACACACAGAACTTGAGTATTTCTTTCCCTTCCCCCAACCATACCATAATTGAGTCCTTGTTATCTTCTTTGCTGCTTCCGCCTTCGTTAGATTATGAATCTTATAGAGTTGATCTTTGCTTCAATGAGCCAGCAATATCACTTGTGATAACAAATAATTTGTGCCTATGCCAAGTGGCTGACCTATAAAAACCAAGGCATTGCAGGATACATATTAGCTGTTTAATATTTCTAAGTGGACGGCCATTACAGAATCCTCTGCAAAAATGAATGCTCAAATATTGAACATCTTTGTTATAATTTGCGTGGCTTCAACTCTTTTCAGCAGTCAGGTATTTACACTCAAATCATTTCTTGCATGCCATAATGTAATGAATTTATGAAATGTAATATATTATTTTCTATTACAATATTGTATCAGTTAGTTACAAAGCTGTGCAACAGTGACAAAACACATGTTTATGTCTGAGCTTTGTTATGGCAAGAACTTGATTATCACTAACGTCGGGAGAAGCACCAAACCTAATACAGATCCTTCCGATGGGAATGTTGGAGAAGTGGAGGGTTGGTCATTCTGGAGCTGACTCTTCTTGTAACTTGGAGACAAGTTGCACCCAGATTTCAAATGTTAGAGTTCCTTCACTGGCTGCCCCCAGTAATACAAGGTGTATTTCAGCAAAACAAGTTTTTAGTGTCAAAAGTAGGTTTTATTTGTAAAATAGACTAGCTCCAAATTGCTATTATGGAGATTGTAGACTACAAATCTCATTCTGTATTCCAAGCACTTGCATTAATGACATTTTATACTTTTCTTGTCTGGAACACATAGATCTGACTGCGCACCTTCATGCATGAATAGATAAGCCTTATGATAGTTTTTACTCTAAAAGTGGATATAAAAGCTATATGTATTATATCATTATTGTCTATTAAACTACTAAGTGGATGATTGTAGTGACATTATTAATAATGTAATTCTGCCTCTTCTCATAGGCTGACTGTGCTGCTATTGGGACAATGGAGACTGTGCTTCAGAGAGTCCGACGAATGACTCCTTTCTGGAGGTGGATCACTTACAGGCCCCTTGGATCCTCTTGCAGGAGCAATGAGGAGTGTAGCTCAAAATATTGCAGGTAAATAGGGAAAATCTTGACAAAATAATGCAGATAGCCATGGCCAGTTTTTCAGTTATGGTCTAATTAGAAAGGGCTCATGAAGTTAATCATAAATAAATTGTCACTAATTAACATCTTGCACAATATGCTCTCTTAACATAGTTTAAACTTTTTAACTTCTTGTGTGTGCTATTGTTCTATCAAAGAAAACCCATCTTTGGAGTCAGCATATTGCAAACATTGTTTACAATCTGTTTAAATCAGAGGCATTGAAACAGGAAATTAAAGTCTTCTCCAAAATAATGAATTTAACTGGTTATAGACACCAAGTGCAGGAAACAGCAGAATTACATCACTGTTGAATTCCATTCATTGTAAATGTGAAAAATGATTAAACCATTAAAAAAAATAAAATTCAAAAAACACACGAATTGGGATGTGCTTTCCCTTTATTATGATAGATATTATAACAAGCATATATGTTCCCTTAAAGTCCTTTAGGTAACTAAATGTTACATTGCTTTATTATGCAAATAATTAATATTCGCCTATATGCTAATCCAACAATTATTTTGTTTTTACAGAAAGAAGCGCTGTGCCTTGGCGGTCCATGAAGACTGACATTCAGACAAAGCTTTTGTACAGAATAATAGTCACAAGCTGTCAGAAATAGTTATGTAAATGAACTTTGACCAATGTACTTATGTAAATAATTTATGCGCAAAGTTCCTGTGTAAATGACTTTCTAACCAATGTACTCTACTAAATGAATTGTGTACAGTGTTGATTTGAGAGTACATATTAATATATTTATATGTATTTATGACCAATTAAACATGCCTGAAACATATGAATATAAGAAAGGTAGTAGAATAAAGTATTTTCATTTCTGTCACTTTAAAATCCAGTACTGGCAACACCATCATGCATTCATTCACTGTAATTGATGTGCAATACTGTAACCAAGGCATCTGTCACTTTGACTTGTTCCAGAGGTGCATTTGTTCCTTTCTGGCTCAGCTAGAACAAACAGTGAGAACCAGATACCTTCTTTCAAAACCAATGGCAAGGTCAGTCATATATATGTGTATATTCTCTTGACATTGTGTCCTTGAAGTAAGACAAATGTGAGATTAGTCAATGGATATTACATCCCACTCGTGCAGAGTGCCTGTTGAACATGAATGGTTCAGTTAAAATGAGGATATCCCATAATAGAGATTATGAGAGAAAATCAGTATGGAGCCCTCTGAAGTGTAGTGGGGTGATGTTTATTCAACCAACATTACTGAAATTCAATCATGCTTTGCACAATGTAAACTTAAATTATAGCAGGCTGTATCTATGTTTGTTTATATTAGGGGGTTATAGAATCACAGTCATAGAATCATACAGCATGGAAACAGATCCTTCTGTCCAACCAGTCCATGCCGAACATAATCCCAAAATAAACTAGTGCCACCTGCCTGCTCCTGGCCCATATCCCGCTAAAAACTTTTCCTATTCACGTATCCATCCAAACAACTTTTAAACATTGTAATTGTATCCATACCCACCACTTCCCCAGGAAGTTCATTTCACACATGAACCACCTGTGTAAAAAATTTGCCTCGTGTCCTTTTTAAATCTTTCTCCTCTCAGAAAAGGAGACCAAATTTGCACACAATGTAGATCACAGACCTGTACAGCACTGAAACAGACCCTTCAGTCTAACTTGTCCATGCCAACTAGATATTGCAAATAACACTAGTCCCATTTTCCAGCATTTGACCCATAACGCTCTAAACCCTTCCTATTCATATACCCATCTAGATGCCTTTTAAATGTTGTAATTGTACCAGCCTCCACCACTTCCTCCAGCAGCTCATTCCACACACGCACCACCCTCTGCGTGAAAAAGTTGCTCCTTCGGTCCCTTTTAAATCTTTCCCCTCTCACTAAATCCATGCCCCCTAGTTTTGGAATCCCCCACCCTAGAGGAAAGACCTTGACTATTTACCCTATCCATGCCCCTCACGATTTTATAAACCTCTGTATGGTTACCCCTCAGCCTCCGATACTCCAAAGGAAAATAGCCCCAGCCTATCTAGCCTCTCCCTATAGCTCAAACCCTCCAACCCTGACAACATCCTTGTAAATCTTTTCTGAACCCTTTCAAGTTTCACAACATCCTTCGTATAGCAGGGAGACTAGAATTGCATGCAGTATTCCAATAGTGGCCTAACCAATGTTGTGGAGGGCTGCAACATGATCTCCCAACTCCTATTTTTAATGCACCGACCAATAAAGGCAAGCATACCAAATGCCTTCTTCACTATCCCATCCACTTTCAAAGGACTATGAACCTGCACTCCAAGGTCTCTTTGTTCAGCAACATTCCCCAGGGCCCTAATGTTAAGTGTATAAGTCTTGCCTTGATTTGCCTTTCCAAAATGCAGCACCTCACATTCACCTAAATTAAACACCGCCTGCCACTCCTCAGCCCATTTGATCAAGATCCCATTGCACTCTGAGGTAACATTCACTACACTTCCTATTTTGGTGTCATCTGCAAAGTTACTAACCATACCTCCTACATTCACATCCAAATCATTTTTAAGTGATGAAAAGCAGTGGACCCAGCACTGATCCTTGTGGCACACCACTGGTCACAGGCCTCCAGTCTGAAATGTAACCCTCCACCATCATCCTCTGACTTCTACTTTCAAGTCAGCTCTGTATCCAAATAACTGGTTCTCCACCTATTCCGTGTGATCTAACCTTGCTAACCAGTCTACCATAAGGAACCTTGTTGAACACCTTGCTGAAGTCCATATAGAAGAACATATCCACCGCTCTGCCCACATCAATCCTCTTTGTTACTTCTTCAAAAAAGCTCTTGCCTTCCCAAATACATGTAAATCATCTCCCTCAGGATTCCCTCCAACAACTCACCTATCACTGATGTCAGGCTCACCAGTCTATATTTCCCTGGTTCTTCCTTACCATCTTTCCTGAATAGTGGCACCCCATTAGCCAATCTCCAGTCTTTCGGCACCTCACCCCCTTTGGCTATCAATGATACAAATAGCTCAGCAAGGGGCTCAGCAATCTCTTCCCTAGCTTCCCACAGAGTTCTAGGGTACACCTGATGAAGTCCCAGGGATTTATCCACCTTTATGTGTTTTAAGACGTCCAGCACCACCTCCTCTGTAATATGGACATTTTTCAAGACGTCGTTATTTATCTCCCCATGTTCTCTATCTTCCATATCCTTCTCCACAGTAAACACTGATGCAAAATATTCATTTAGTATCTCCCTCATCTCCTGTGGGTCCACACATAGGTCGCCATGTTGATCTTTAAGGGGCCCTATTCTTGCCCTAGTTATCCTTTTGTCCTTAATGTATTTGAAGAATCCCTTTGGATTCTCCTTAACCCTATTTGCCAAAGTTATCTCATGTCTCCTTTTTGCCCTCCTGATTTACCTCTTAAGAATACTCTTACTGTTCTTATACTCTTCTAGGGAATCACTCGATTTCTGCTGCCTATACCTGCCATATGCTTCCTTCTTATTCTTGATCAAAACCTCAATTTCCCTAGTCATCCAGCATTCCCTACACCTACCAGCCTTGCCCTAACAGGAACATACTGTCCCTAGACTCTAGTTATCTCATTTTTGAAGGCTTCCCATTTTCCAGCCGTCTCTAACTGCAAACATCCACCCCAATCAACTTTTGAAAGTTCTTGCCTAATACTGTCAAAATTTGCCTTCCTCCAATTTAGAATTTTAACTTTTAAATCCAGTCTATCCTTTTCCATCACTACTTTAAAACTAGTAGAATTATGGTTACTGGCCCTAATGTGCTCCCCCACTGACACCTCAGTCACCTGCCCTGCCTTATTTCCCAGAGAAGGTCAAGGTTTGCACTCTTTCTAGTAGATACATCCACACACTGAGTCAGAAACTTTTCTTGTACATACGTAACAAATTACTCTGCATCCAAGCCCTTAATATTATAGTAGCCCAGTCTATGTTTGGGAAGTTAAAATCCCCTACCACAACCACCCTATTATTCCTACAGATAACGGAGATCTCCTTACAAAATTATTTCTCAATCTTCCGCTAACTATTGGGGGTGGAGGGGTCTACAGTACAATCTCAATAAGGTGGTGATCAACCCTTTCTTATTTCTCAGTTCCACCCAAATACCTTCCCTGAATGTATTCTCAGGAATATCCTACTCATTATTAGGGTAATGTTGTCCTGAATCAAAAATGCCACTCCCCGTCCTCTCTTGTCCCCTTTTCATTCTTTCCTACAGCATCTATACCATGGAACAATAAACTGCCAATCTTGTCCATCCCTGAGCCACATCTCTGTAATTGCTATGATATCCCAGACCCATGTTCGCAACCATGTCCTGAGTTTATCTACCTTAACTGTTAGGCCTCTTGCATTGAAATAAATGCAGTTTATCAGTCCTACCACATTCTCTACCTGTTTTTCCTGTCTGTTTGATTTACTCATTTTCCCGTCTGCACCAGACAGTTGATGGATTTAGTTAATGAATATTATGACCCCAGGGCTCCTGTAATTCTGAGACGCTATTGGTTTTACTTGGCAATTCGATAACCAGGGGAATCCATATCGGGATTTTTGACTAGGTTAAGATGACAGGCAGAGGCATGTGACTTTAGTTTAATCCTTAATGAGATGCTGAGTGACCAGTTGGTATGTGGGATTAATGATGCAATCATGCAAAAGTGCCTACTAGCTGAAACCCAATCAAACTTCAAGGAGACACTACACATGGCTTTATCATTGGAAAATGTGGCAAGTGGAGCATATGAGTTGCAGGGTATTCCGACGGAAGTGGACCCCTTGCCAGTGTGACTGAGCTTGTAGAATGTCACTTGAGTGAAGGCTATTGCATAGCCTCACTCAGGATATATCCTGATCAGAGGGACTCTAGATCAGCCCACTGCAAACCCCAAAACAAAGCCAAGCCTCAACCAAACGGTTAAAATTTTCTTCAGGCAAGCCATTGCAGTTGCTGCCGGTATGTAGACTTGAGACAGCATATGGGTCCTAACAGACCTAACTTGAGTAAGGAAGGGTCACCAGATCCAAAATGTTAACTCTGATTTCTCTTCACAGATGCTGCCTGACCTGCTGAGCTTTTCCAGCAACTTCTGTTTTTGTTTCTGATTTACAGCATCTGCAGTTCTTTCGGTTTTTAATCCACTGTGCACTTGTGTCACTTCAGGTCACTAAATTTTGGATTTGGATAACCTGAATCACAGAATTATTACAGCACAATGGTCAGCCACTCAGTATGTCTGTGCTGGCACTCTGGAAAGAGGAATTTATCTAATGTTACTCTCTGCCTTCTCCCCATCACCCTGCAAACATTCTTACTTTTCAGATAAGCATTTTGACTGATCTTGCCTTTAAATCACTTTACTGCATGGAAATGTTTCTCATGTCTCTATTGTTTCTTTTGCTGGTTACTTTAAAATTCGGTTCTCAGTCTGAATCCTTTCATCAATGCCCATCTGCTCTGTCCAGATTTATCATAATATTTATTACCGACATAAGGTCTGCTCTCAATCTGAACTGATCCAACCTTTGCTGCATA